CTAATAGTGATTATTTCTGTAGGTGAATTTTAGAACAAATTTAAGTCCATATTTTCTGTATCTTCTAGAATTATTTTGCAGTATGCAAATATTATTATCCTCATAAATAGAAAAAAGCAAATTTATACAATGTTAAGCGCCTCTCAAATTTTTTCTTTCCCACCTGCCATAAACAGATTTCCTAATATTTATAACACCTCATAGAATTTATTTATTTACTTACTTATTTTATAAGGCAGTGGCACTGAAAGAATCTAAACTTCTCAAATACTTCTGTTTAGAGTGGTTGATGTATACACAGGACCAATTTCAAGGAAAAAGGAATGCATCCGCTGTAAATCTATTCCACAAATCTTTCTTAATCTCTCTTCCATCTCCATTACTTAAGCCTATATGACTTGGAAGTCACAAGTTGTTTTCTGAAGCTGATTTATTACCCAGTATTTGTAAGACTTTAGCCAAATGATTTAGAATCTCTGAACCTCATAGGTAAAATTTGAGTTACTAACAGATTTAGAATGCCCTAAATCGATAATCATTTATAAATCAGCAGGGCAAACACAATGCCTTTCTTTTTTTCCTAATATAGTGTCTAGGACATGATAGTTTTGGAAACTAAATAAATCAATGAATGGATAGATGGATTAATGAATGAATTGACCATAGAATACTAGTATCTCCTTGAAAGCAAGAGCAAATTTTTATTCATGGTTGTTAAAGTATGGTCTTCAAACCAGTAGCATCAACATCAATGGAGTTTGTTTGAATTACAAATTCTAGGCTCCACCCTGGAGACTGGGGACTGGGACCTAGTAATCTGCATTTTATCAAGCCCTCCAATATCATTCTGAAGCATGCTAAAATTTAAGAATCTCTGACTTAGGTTGCTTTTCAATTGTTAGTATGTACTGATTGGAGTTTGATGAGTTCATTGACAATGTAGCTTCTAGGCAATCCATGCACATCTAAATAGAGTGCTTCTGAAATTAACACCTAGTGCCAAAGTTTGCAAATTGCATTCTTTGTCATGTGCCATATGAAAGTGTTTATTTATTTGGGGCATGTAGTTGGTTGTCAGTACTTGAACATTTAGCATTTGGACACTTTACAAAAAGAATCTAGATCTCAAAAAAGTTGCCCTCTTTTTCTTCATGGCAAGACATGCTGGACCTTAGCTCCTCCAGCATCATCATCATATTATTCTCCCACTTCAGAGATCAAGTATTACTTTATTATCTTGCTTGAACTGTTGTTTTTCTTAATCTCAAGCTGTTTCACAAACTGTCTATGAACGCATGGGTGACTCATTTTTCCAGTTTGTCTGGGACAGACTCAGTTTATACCTTTGTCCCACCTAATTATTCATAGTCTTCCCTTTGTCTCCAAAGTATCTTGGTTTGGATGATAAATTATAGGTCACCCTATTCAAAGGTATTTGCTTTTGCAATTCCAGACTTACCGTCCCTTTTCAAAGTTAATATAGAAGATCCTCTAACAAAAGACAAAGGTAAATGTGATCCTAGGTATGGGAAGAGGAAAGAGGGCAAGTTTAGAAGCAGACCCCAAATCATGTATGCCAAGAATAAAACGTCTTTAAATATTATCATTTTGTCTTAAAATCTATGTATGTGGACGCTGGTGCAGTGTGCATGTGGTTTTGATGAAAGCTCCCACTCACAGTTTCGTTTCTGTACAAAACCTCATTACATCAGTACAAATGTACACACACTTATTGGTTTGTACACTTCTTATGAAAATAAACATACAAACAAGAATAACAAAATCCTAATTATTATGTGGAAAATTTCTTTACCAGTACTCTTTTCTTCTCATATATTTGACACAATAAACTAAGCTAATTACCACACCTTTCTCTTTGCTGTCCCACAGCGTGGCCCGTGTCTACAGCATGGATTCTAACCATTTCCTTATAATCCTATAATGCATGAACTCATAAGATAATTCTAATGTGGACTTCAAGTAATACTTAAGCAACTTTTAATTTGTTCTTTTAGAATTTGTTTTCTCTTGTATTGATACTAAGCCTGAATTCTCTTTCACATTACAAAAAATTCAGGTGATTTTTTTTTCCTTTAAGCTTCATATGATTGGATTTTATATGCTGCTGGTAGTATGATTATATTAGGTATTATTTAGAAATTTCTCACAGGACAGATACCAAGGTTTCAACTCATTTGTATCTCTGTAATAACAAATGCTGAATTTTTAACAAGCATGTTAACAATAATAAAGTTTTTTGGAAAGATGTCATTGCCAGGATTGATTCTAAGCATGTTGATTGTGTTAACTCATTTAATAATCAGAAGAACTATGTAGAGAAATTAGCACCCTTGTGCATTGTTAGTGGAAACGTAAAATGGTATAGATGTTACTGAAAATAGTCTGGTGGCTCTTCAAAAACTTTTAAATATTTATTACCATATGATACAGCAATTCTATTTCTGGGTATAGATCCAAAAGAGTTGAAAGCAGAATTTCAAAGAAAAATTTGCACACCCATGTTCATAGCAGCATTATTCATGGTAAGCAAAAGACAAAAGCAGACCAAGTGTTCATCAATGGATAACTTGATGTGGATATGGATAACAAAATGTGATTTATACATACAATAGAATATTATTCAGCTTTAACAAGGAAGAGAATTCTGACACATGCTACAATATAAATGAATTTTGAGCACATTATACTAAGTGAATTAAGTCAACCACAAAAAGACAACTATTGTATGATTCCACTCACATGAAGTATCTAGAGTAGTCAAATTCATAGAAACAGATTGAAGAGTAGGCCAGAGCCTTAGGAAGGGGGAAATGGAGAACTGTTTTTTCGTGGGTATAGAGTTTCAGTTTTGTAAGATAAAAAAATTCTGGACATTGGTTACACTGCAATGTGAATATACTTAATACTCCTGAACTGTACATTTTAAAATGGTTAAGGGGTGTGTAGGTGGCTCAGTCGTTCAAGCATCAGACTCTTCGTTTACATTCAGATCATGGTCTCAGGGTCATGAGATTAAGCACCATGTTGGACTCTGCCCTGGACATGGAGCCTGCTTGAGATTCTCTCTCTCTCTCTCCTTCTGCCCCTCCTCTCTCTCATAAATAAATAAATAAATAAATAATCAATAAGTTAAGACAGTAACTTTTATATGATGTGTCTTTTCCTACAATTAAAGCTAAAAAAGATGGCATTCTCCATCCCAATGGAACAATGGAGGCACAGAGAGGTTGAAATGGTGGCCTTATTCACAAAACTGGTACATTACCGAGCTGGAGATTTAAAGCCCAGGGAGTCTGGGTCTGTAGAGCATCCTCTTGCTCCTCCCACTGCTTCCCATGTGCCTGATGTTGTTTTCCACAGCTTCACTAATTGCAGCTGGGATAGTGCTATCATCCATTTCACCTATAAGTTCATTTAAGAAATGAAGGTGTAATTCCTGTAATTCCCCAGCTCTCTGAGTTTTGCCTGATTCCAGACAGTCTAGATATCCATTATTATCTTGCCTATGTAGTTGGTTTTTAACTAGCAGCAAAAATTCATTTTCAATCATGGATCTGTACACCCAATTGAAAGTACAATGACATGAGCATTTGTTTTCGGTGGTCCACCGCTGCACATGGAAGAACTGTGTTGATCCTGTATCTTTGGAACGTGTCATTTGATTACATGAAGCTTGGCAGGCAGGGAAGGTGATTTGTGGGAGTCAGTGGCTTTACGCGCATTATGTGTCATCAAAAGGATAAATAAAATCCCAACCTTAGTTTAGAGTCACAAATCATACAAAAATGGACAAACTAGCTCAGAGAACATCTCAGAAAAATCAACAGGTCAGGATCCCTAATCAAAGAGAGCCAGATTAGCATTACTATGCTCGGTCTCGATGTTCTCCAGATTTGTGAACCTGAGGCACTGTACCCCATGCACATAAACATTGTTTCTCTCTGTTCTTTCACACGCTCCTACCCTCCACACAAACCAGAAATGAAACAACACCAGCTCTCAGAGAAAACTAGGAATTCGTTGGCAACATGTGTTAAAGACACAAACACGTTTTTAAAATGTCCTTAAAGGGCGCCTGGGTGGCTCAGATGGTTAAGCGTCTGCCTTCGGCTCAGGTCATGATCCCAGGGTCCTGGGATCGAGTCCCGCATCGGGATCCCTGCTCCTTGGGAGCCTGCTTCTCTCTCTCTCTCTCTGTCTCTCATGAATAAATAAATAAAATCTTTAAAAAAAAAAATGTCCTTCAAGATCTGTAAGTAAAATGGAGGGTCTTAAAGAACATGCTAGTTTCCTTCTGGGCTTTCCTGTATTTCCCAGCTCTGCATAGGTATAATCTCCATGGCAAGGGCTGGGCAACCGCTGTGTGCAGATAGCTGTGTCTGTCTCGTTAAGGGCCCTCACCTAAAGGATTGATACTGCAACTGGACCATAAGAGAATCTCACAGAGTGGCTGAAATAACAGGGGTAGAGAACAGGAGCATATTTCTGGGGCAAAGTTTCTTCCCCTCCACACACAAGCTTGTTGTTGTTTAATCCTTCTTTGTGTATATGTGACTCAGCTTACAAAAAAAATAAAAACAACAACAACAAAAAAAAAACAACATACTGAGAGGTTGTAGAAATGATTATAGAGTGACAGAAACCATCAGTTCTACCCTGTTTCCACTTGCTGAAATGGAAATTGTTTAGTATTATCTTTAGTAAATGTTTGTATATATTTGCCCTTTCCATGACATTGGAAACTTAGGATGAACACACACACACACACACAGACACACTCACACACAATGACTTTTTATCATGATCAAAGTTATTAGAAGACACTCTTAGAAACTGCAGAGAAGCAACAGGCTTCCATACACGGATGCTTCAGATCCTTCTCCTATGCATTGCTCTCAGACCCTTGGAAACCCTGGGAAAACCTTCAAGTCCAGGCACTCTGACTGTGCTTACTTCTGGCCACCACCCTGATCCATTTCCTTCTCAGGGCTTCCTGGCTGCACCAGCTGTTGAACAGCAGTGCTGCCTCTGTGTGCATGTATGTGTGTATGGGTCAACCTTTTTATATCTTAACTGCCTGTAAAGTCACTGACTACTACATTCAGATCGAATCCGGAACTTACTTTTCTCCCGGAGACAGAAGTGAGCCTCCCCAGTCTCCCCCGGCCCTGCCCTCCTGGGACTACCACCACCAACTCCCAGGGTTCTTGTCAGCACCAGTACCACTGGCTGAAAATGAAAACTGAGAGCGGAGACTAAAGCGTGAGGTAAAATTTGCTTTTTAAAATCTCTTTTCTTGAAGTTTTTGTCTGGCATCTGCAGAGCATTTTGGGCTTCTCCAGTCATTTCCGCTTTGAACACATGCTTGCAATTTAAATACTTTTGCCTAATTCCAATTTTCCCACAGGAAACTCAGTATTGTTGTTTATGCTGTGCACAATCTATCAGGCTTTCGGTGATCACTTTTATTTTTCTAGGTTCAACTGGACTCTTCTGAAGCATGCCAGTATTGGGGGTCTTCGTATGAAACTGTAAGCCTCATAAAGGAATAAAGCTGGACCTTATTAGAGTGAAATAAATGGAAGAAATATTCTTTTCTCATTAAAAGAACCATTCAGTTTTATTTTTTAATTTATTTTTATAATTTTTAAAAAGATTTTATTTATTTATTTGAGAGAGAGGGAAAGAAAAAGAGAGAGAGAGAGAGAGCACAAGCAGGGCCAGGGGCAGAGGGAGAAACAGACTCTCCACTAAGCAGGGAGACAGACATGGGGCTCGATCCCAGGATGCTGGGATCATGACCTGAGCCAAAAGCAGACACCTAACCCACTGAGCCATCCAGGTGCCCCAACCATTAGGTTTTAATGTCAGATATCTCGGTTAGTTTCTCCTAAGAGGGGTGTTGTTTTGCATTTTTCTCTTTTTTTACCATTGATCTTTTTAGAAGCCAATTCTAGACATTGTAATTTTCAGCCTATCCTATCACTCAACTAGGATGACCTGTGGTGTCATGTAGACTATCATATATAACCACATAAAATTCTCAGTTTTTGGTAGGATTTAAAAGATTTTTATAAACTAATTTTTATGATTTTAAAAGTCACTCTTCCAGGGTATCTGGTTCAGTGACATTAGTTATGTTATGTCTTCCAGCCTTACCCCCCTGCATCCATCTTCCCGTGTGATTCTGAACTCATCATCATCCATGGGTCACAACAAGAAGTGCAATTCAGGACTACTACTCTCAGATTCCTAAATTGGTTACACCCACTTCCTAGATGTGACCAGGATGTATTCAGAATCAGCTGCCTTATTTTCATTTTGTTACTCATACCCATGCTTCTCTGACAACATTTTTGCAGCATGAAAAGCTTGAGGTGTTTGTCAGAGGAAGTTTGCTTTGTCAAAGTAAAATTTCCTTACAAATTGTGAACACCCTGATTTGGATGAGAGAAAATCACAGACACTTCGACTCTGGTGCAGGCCTACCCACAGTAGATTTACGATATGACCAAGTGCTCAGAACTGGGGAAACTATTTCTGGTTGCCACTCACTTGTCATGTGTCTTTGAGCAGACTCTCTGAACTTGTTCCTTAATCTCATCCACAAAATGAAAGTAAGACTTATCATCAGGGTGGGTAGCACAGTCAATACCATTTATTTTCCAGAAGACGTTAATTCATTTTGATAAATCATTTATATACACCCTATAGAGAGTAGATGAAAAGTGGCTTAAAGTCATACATCCCATTTTTCTTGAGCATGCCAATTACTTGGGGACTTTGTTAAAATATAAATTCTGATTCTGGTTTGGGGCCTGAGATGTTGCATTTCTAACAAGCTCTCAGGTAATGCCAATAGCACATGGTGCTTGTACATGAACTGTATTTGAATAGCAATAGTGAATTGATTATATAAATATAAAACAATAGTACAAATAAATCAAAATTAATAAAGAAATGAAAAAGGATGAGTGAAGACATGAATGGACCCAGGAATGATGTTATAAATGTATAAAATAATGTTAACCCCCCACTAAGTGGGGAACAAACTTGTCCACATGATTTGTAGCAGACAGTATAAAAATGGGAACTGTGTCCTCAATATTTATTTGCTTTCCCCTAATAATCTGTATGTATAATAAGAATTGGTTAGTGCAATTATACCACTACTAAATTTTATATTCTGGAGCCAAAGAAGAAAAAGAGAGCCTCACTTATTTTCCTCAATTAAAAAAAAAAAAAGCATCCAAATGATATTTGGGATCAATATTTACCCTTATATAATCTGGGAAGAAGCAATTAGCTAAGAAATTAGTAGAACAAAATGTTTCAAGGAAAACTGTTTCATTTATTGTATGTAACTCAGGTCTAATACCCAAATATACTATGTTGACTTCTGCTGTCACTCATTCCTATATATGTATATTCAAACTGGGAAGTAACACTATCCCCAAGATCTTAGAAGATTCTGAGTGGGACATGCAGGTTCAATCATTCACTCTTTCAGTTCATTCAACATCTGCTTCATTCCAAATACAGAGCTTACAGACTTAATTTCACTTCTTTCCACTTCCTGCTTCTGCTGGGTTCCTGACCAACCATATTATTTATTCCTTTCCTGAGGCTGCTGACATATTCCACAGTAACTCATGCTGGAGAATTTCTTCTACTGGACTCTGCCCCTTCACTAACAAGGGACTGCGAAGGCAACCAGACATTTACTACAAAATAGAAGATAATTAAGAAGCTTACAGAAGGCAACAATTTAATATGGAATACTTAATATAATTTTCCTAAAATGCCCTGGCCACTCAGCTTTCATCAGCATTTCACCTCAGGATCTTGCCTTCTCTAAATTTATGCGTGTCTACCCATGCATCTGCTTTTCCATCAATATACTCTTCTTCAGGTCTCTGAAGGACCCAGCTCTTTTACTTTATGAGGAGTAATAAAGATGCAAAATTCTAACTATTTTTACTGTTTTTCTAGCATAAGATGACATATGTTTAAAGACAAACCCATGATTTAATAACAACTTTTCCTGGGGAAACAAAAAGACATATTTTTGTGTGCATACCTATTAACTATAAGATATAAAATTATGATATATAATGCATGCCTTACAATGTAAAATGAAGAAATCTTTGTCCAGATTTCTCTCTTCTAGACTGTTTTTTAGGGGGTGTGTGGAAGAGTTACCTCTAAAACATCAGGCTGTTGTATTAACAAGGTTTTCCTAATAAAAAACATACCTCTTTCTATACAAACTTATTCTAGGGATAACAGTTTAAGCAGCAGCTAGCTTTTAAATTAGGGATTTTGTTTGTAGCTCCCATTATACAAGTAAATATTGAGAGCTTAGTAAGTACAGTCACTGTTTAAAGTACCATCAAGGAATTTTGGAATCACCAAATTACTTACAAAATATTTACGTGATAAAACCTCTGGTTGGCAATCTTTGAAGTCCAGTTATAGTTATTTTACTAGCAGCAATAAGAGTTCATCTAAGATATTATATAATTCAGATGGTTATTAATTAAAATGCTATTCATATGTAGTATATATTACGTATTATTGTTGATTGACAGATTCTCTGAAATAAATGGAACAATAGATTATGAAGGATCTTATAACTTCTACATTTTACATTTCCATCTATTTCTAGGATGTTTACATTCTGTGTGTGTGGAGCGAGAGTTGTAAAATGGAAACAGTGGTTAAAGCAGTTAGAGTTTCACTTACAAAGTTCAGTGGAGATGAAGTGGAAAAAATAAACAATGAATAGCCCTCCGTGATGGCCAATTTTATGTGTCAACTTGATTGGGCCACAGAGAACCCAGATATTTGGTCAAACATTATTCTAGGTTTGTGAGGGTATTTCTGGATGAAATTAACATTTAAATTAGTAGACTGAATAAAGCAGATTGCCTTTTCTAATGAGAATGGGCCTTATCCAATCAGTTGAAAGCCTGAATAGAACAAAAAGGCTGACCTTCCTGGGAATGGGGGAGAATTCATCCTGTCTGACTGTCTTAGATGAGACATCAGTTTTTTTCTGCCTTCACACTCAAACTGAAGAGTTGGTTGTTCTTGGGTCTCAAACTTGCTGGCCTTCAGATTAGAACTAAACATTAGCAATCCTGGGTTTCCAGTTTGCCATCTACAGATCCGGGGAATTTTCAGTCTTCATAATTGCATGAGTCAATTCTTCATAATAATTTCTCTCCAAACATATATATAATATTGGTTCTGTTTCTCTAAAGAACAGAGAATAATAATGTAGTCTCCTCCCAGGATTCAAAAATTTTGGAAGATTTAGAAGAGCAATGAGATTCTAATTCAGAGTTAGTATTATTAGTATGCTTAAGATTAGAATAGTTACTAATCAAAGAGTTTGCAAAGCAATTTTTATTATATATACATATGTACATTATAATATAATGTATATAATGTACATCTGTACATATATAAAGAGATTTATATATAAAGAGATTTATTATACTTAATTGGTTTATGTAGTTTTACAGGCAGGCAAACTGGAGATCCAGCAAGATAAGTTGGCAAGTTGGAGACCCAGCACAGCTGATGATTTAGTTCCAGTCTGAGACTAAAGGCCTAAGAACCAGGAGAGCTGATGGTGTTTTAGTTTGAAAGCTGTCAGGTACAAGACTCAGGAAAAGTCAGTGTTTTAGTACCACTGTGAAGACAGGAAAAAGCCTGATGTCAATTCAAAAATTGTTAGGCAAGAAACATTCTCTCTTATTTGGGGGATGGTCAGCCTTTTTGTTCTATTCATGCCTTTAACTTTAAGAAGGGCAATCTGCTTTAGTCAGTATACCAATTTAAATATTAATGTCATCCAAAAAACACTCTCACAGAAATACTCAGAATAATATTTAAGCAAATATCTGGGCATCTCATGGTGCAGTCAAGTCTATCCATAAAATTAACCATTGTAGTTTCTAAGCGAGATGGAGTAACAGGAACTAGATTTACTGTTTTGCATGAAGCAACCAAATGAAAGATAGTGGATAGGAAACAAACAAACAAAAATTGAACCATATGATTTCCCCAGATTACTGCCTTGAAGGAACTCCCAGGCCACACTTCAAGGAGATGATAGCAGACACCCAAATATCAAGCATGCAAAGAGGCAGAAAAAAAGAAACCATAATTTAAAAAAATTATTCAATTGAAAGCAACCTAGAACTAACATGATGTTAGAATTAGCAAATAAAGGCCTTAAAACAGTCACTATAACTGTATTTAATATGCATCAAAAGTTGAGACAATAAAAATATAATCATTTCCAAAATGATATTCTAGAGGTGGAAACTACATCTGAGGTAAAAATGCAATAGGTGGGATTAACATCAGATTACACATTGCAGAAGGAAAGGTTAGTGAACATGAAGGCATAGCAATCGATGTTACTCAAAATGAAACATAAAGGGAGAAAAAGATTGTTAAAAATGAATAGAGCATCAGTGAGCTATGAATAACTGTATGTGACCTGGGGTCTCAGAAGGAAAGACAGAAAAATTATTTGAAGAAATGATTGTAAACCCACAATTCCAAGAAGCTCAATAAATCTGAAACATACACACACACACAAAACTTGTGAAAATGACCACACCAAGGCACATCATAATTCCATTGCTCAAAATCAGTGATACAGAAAAAAAGAAAATCTTAGTCACAAGAATATAAGGCCCAGCATAGAGAATATAATCAGTGATATTATAATAATGTTGTACAGTGACAGATCGTAGCTACACCTCTGAGGAACATAGCTAAGTATAGAGAAGTTGAATCACTATGTTGTACACCTGAAATAATGCAACATTGTGTGTCAACTACACTAAAAAAAAATTTTTTTAAAGAAAATCTTAGAAGCAGACAGATAAAATACATGTGTTATGTACAGAAGAACAAAGGTAAGAAAGAATGGATTTCCTAAAAAGAAAAATGAGGTACAACTAAAGTGTAAAGATGAGTGGAAGTTTTATTTTGCTTTAAGTCCGGATAATTCTTAGCATATTTCTGTAAAATCTGATTTTCAATTCTAAGATGTGTAGTTTCATTTCCGTAAAAAGCTTCCAGTAAAGACCTTTGTACTGCTTGTCACTGAGCCAGTTGCTGCACTTGCAATCTACAACTTCATAAACACAAAAATGCCCTTTGTATTTAGATCTCTGCATGCTGAGTGTTAAAGGTCAATTTCACTTTATATCAAGTAACAGTGTCTTAAGAATAGCATTAGTTATTCAGCTTCTGATTTTGATCTTCTTTATTTTCCCATGATTGGATTGTCAGAAAATATTCTATTAAGTATTTGTACAACCTGGTACAAAAATGATTTCCCCAAAAGATCTCCTGAGAAAAAATCTGAAGATCATTCATGGCTATCCCATGACCTACGCTTTTGCAAACAACTGGGAAAGGATTGAAGAGTTCCACAGCAGGCCAGATGACATTGTGATAGCCACTTACCCCAAATCAGGTGAGTTTTGTTGACTGACAAATGCAGATCTGGCTTCAGTCTTTGTTCCTTGAAAATCAGCTTCTCTCTCTAAAATCATTTTCATCCTATATAAAGTTAATATTCCTATCAGTCAGTCTAGCCGTGTACTTTTGAGATAATTTAAAATGAGCATTTGGGGCACAGAAAGGGAAATTGCAGAATTAAGTTTCTAATAGAATGTATTAAGATGGCAGACTACCTGTAGGGACTTTTGCCCCCAGATTCAAGTGATGGTTACAAAAAAATGTTGTCTTTCACTACAGGTACCACTTGGGTTAGTGAAATTGTGGACATGGTTCTAAATAATGGAGATGTTGAGAAATGTAAGCGGGATGTTATAACAGTTAAAGTTCCAATGTTGGAAATGGCCATCCCTGGACTAAGAACTTCAGGTAATTTTAAACTACTTGAGAATTATAATTTTTAATATTATTATTTTTTAAATTTTTATTATTTTTTTAAATTCAAAACCAGATTTTCTTTTTAATTTAATTTCAGTTAGCCAACTTTAGTTCTCGATGTAGTGTTCAATGATTCATTAGTTGCTTATAACACCCGGTGCTCATCACATCACATGCCCTTCTTAACACCCATCACCTAATTCCCCCAACCCACACACACCTCCCCTCCAGCAGTCCTGTTTGTTTCCCTGAGTCAAGAGTCTCTCATGGTTTGTCTCTCTCTCTGATTTCCTCCCATTCAGTTTTCCCTCCCTTCCCCTATCATTCTCTGCACTACTTCTTATATTCAACGTATGAGTGAAACCATACAATATTTGTCTTTCTCTGATTGACTTATTTCACTTAGCATAATACCCTCCAGGTTCATCCATGTCAATGTAAATGATAGGTATTCATCCTCTCTGACGGCTGAGTAATATTCCATTGTATATATGAACCACATCTTCTTTATCCATTCATCTGTTGAAGGACATCTTGGCTACTTCCACAGTTTGGCTATTGTGGACATTGCTGCTATGAACATTGGGGTGCATATGGCCCGTCTTTTCACTACATCTGTATCTTTGGGGTAAATATCTAGTAGTGCAATTGCTGGGTTGTAGAGTAGCTCTATTTTCAACTTCTTGAGTTGTCTCAAGAAGATTGCCTAATTTGTTGGCGTAGACTTGCTCACCATATGTTCTTAAAATTGTATTTCCTTGGTGTTGGTTATGATCTCTCCCCTTTCATTCATGATTTTACTAATTTGGGTCCTTTCTCTTTTCTTTTGGATAAGTCTGGCCAGAGGTTTATCGATCTGTTTTCCAGAGTGGCTGCACCAGCTTGCATTCCCACCAACAGTGTAAGGGGGTTCCCCTTTCTCCACATCCTTGCTAACATTTGTCCCTGTCTTATTAATTTTAGCTGTTCTAAATGGTGTAAGGTGGTATCTCATTGTGGTTTTGATTTGTATTTCCCTGATGACAAGTGATGTGGAGCATTTTTTCAAGTGTCTTTTGGTCATTTGGATGTCTTCTTTGGAGAAGTATCTGTTCATGTCTTCTGCCTGTTTCTTGACTGGATTATTTGTTTTGTGGATGTTGAGTTTGATAAGTTCTTTATAGATCTTGGATACCAGACCTTTACCTGTAATGTCATTTGCAAATATCTCCTCCCATTCCATAGGTTGCCTTTTAGTTTATTGACTGTTTCCTTTGCCATGCAGAAGTGTTTAATCTTAAGTCCCAATAGTTCATTTTTGCCCTTGCTTTCCTTGCCTTTGATGATGTTTCTAGGAAGAAGTTGCTGTGGCTGAGGTCGAAGAGGTTGTTGCCTGTGTTCTCCTCAAGGATTTTGATGGATTCCTGTCTCACATTTAGGTCTTTCATCCATTTTGAGTCTATTTTTGTGTGTGGTATAAGGAAGTGGTTCAGTTTCATTCTTCTGCATATGGCTGTCCAATTTTCCCAGCATCATTTATTGAAGAAACTGTCTTTTTTCCATTGGATATTCTTTCCTGCTTTGTCAAAGATTAGTTGACCATAGAGTTGAGTGTGTAGATTGTTCTGGGCAGCACAGACATTTTCACAATGTTTATTCTTCCAATCCATGATCATGGAATGTTTTTCCATCTTTTTGTGTCTTCCTCAATTTCTTTCATAAGTGTTCTGTAGTTTCTAGAGTACAGATGCTTTCCCTCTTTGGTTAGGTTTATTCCTAGGTATCTTATGGTTTTTGGTGCAATTGTAAATGGGATCGATTCCTTAATTTTTCTTTCTTCAGTCACTTTGTTAGTGTATAAAAATGCAACTGATTTCTGTGCATTGATTTTTTTTATCCTGCCATGTTGCTGAGTTCCTGTATGAGTTCTAGCAATTTTGGAGTGAAGTGTTTTGGGTTTTCCAAATAAAGTATCATGAAATCATCAAAGAGCGAGAGTTTGACTTCTTCTTTGCAAATTTGAATGCCTTTTATTTCTTTTTGTTAGATGATTGCTGAGGTCAGGACTTCTAGTACTATGTTGAACAAAAGTGGTGAGAGTGGGCATCCCTGTCATGTTCCTGACCTTAAGGGAAAAGCTATCAGTTTTTCCCCACTGAGAATGACATTTGCTGTGGGCTTCTCATAGATGGTTTTTATGATATTGAGGTGTGTTCCCTTTATCCCTATGCTTTGAAGAGTTTTAATCAAGAAAGGATGCCGTATTTTGTCAAATGCTTTTTCTGTATCAGTTGAGAGGATCATATGGTTCTTGTCTTTTCTTTTATTAATGTGATCTATCATGTTGATTGATTTGTGCATGTTGAACCACCTTTGCAGTCCAGGAATAAATCCCACTTGGTCATGATGAATAATCCTGTTAATTGGATTGGATCCCCTTGGCTAGTATCTTGGTGAGAATTTTTGCATCCATCAGGGATATTGGTCTGTAATTCTCCTTTTTGTTGGGGGTATTTGTCTGGTTTGGGGATCAAGGTAATGCTGGCCTCATAGAACAAGTTTGAAAGTTTTCCTTCCATTTCTATTTTTTTGAAACAGCTTCAGTGGAATAGGTATTAGTTCTTCCTTAAATGTTTGGTAGAGTTCCCCTGGGAAGCCATTTGGCCCTGGACTCTTGTTTTTTGGGAGGTTTTTGATTACTGCTTCAATTTCCTTGCTGGTTATTGGTCTGTCAGTTTTTCTACCTCTTCCTGTTTCAGTCTTGGTAGTTTACAAATTTCTAGGAATGCATCCATTTCTTCCAGATTGCCTAATTTGTTGGCATATACTTGCTCATAATATCTTCTTAAAATTGTATTTCCTTGGTGTTGGTTATGATCTCTCCCCTTTCATTCATGATTTTACTAATTTGGGTCCTTTCTCTTTTCTTTTGGATAAGTCTGGCCAGAGGTTTATTGATCTTATTAATTCTTTCAAAGAACCAGCTTCTAGTTGTGTTGATCTGTTCTACTATTTTTCTGGTTTCTATTTCATTGATTTCTGCTCTAATCTTCATTATTTCTCTTCTCCTGCTGGGTTTAGGCTTTATTTCCTGCTCTTTCTCAGAGTCCTTTAGGTGTAAGGGTAGCTTGTGTTTTGGGATTTTTTTAAGTTTTCAGAGTGGCTTGTATTGCAATGTCCTTCCCTTAGGACTGCCTTTGCTGTATCCCAGAGATTTTGAACTGATGTGTTTTCATTCTCATTAGTTTCCATGAATTTTTTAAGTTCTTCTTTAATTTCCTGGTTGACCCATTCATTCTTTAGTAGGATGATCTTTAACCTCCAAGTGCTGGAGTTCCTTCCAAATTTCTTCTTATGATTGAATCCAAGTTTCAAAGCATTGTGGTCTGAAAATATGCAGGGAATAATCTCAGTCTTTTGGTATTGGTTGAGAAGAGTCACTGATTTGTGAACCAGTATGTGATCTATTCTGGAGAAAGTTCCATGTGCACTGGAGAAGAATGAGTATTCTGTTGTTTTAGGATGGAGTGTTCTGTATATCTATCTCTGCGAAGTCCATCTGGTCCAGCATGTCATTCAAAGCCCTTGTTTCTTTGTTAATCTGCTTAGATGATCTGTCCATTGCTGTGAGTGGGATGTTGAAGTCCCTACTATTAATGTATTATTATCAAAGTGTTTCTTTATTTTGGTTATTAATTGGTTTATATGATTGGCTTCTCCCATGTTGGGGGCATAAATATTTACAATTGTTAGATCTTCGTGTTGGATAGACCCTTTAAAGATGATATAGTGTAACTCTACATCTCTTACTACAGGGTTTGGTTTAAAGTCTAATTTGTCTGATATGAGGATTGCTACCCCAGCTTTCTTTTGAGGTCCATTAGTGTGGTAAATAGTTCTCCACCACCTCACTTTCAGTCTGGAGGTGACTTTATATCTAAAATGAGTCTCTTGTAGACTGCATATGGATGGATCTTGCTTTTTTATCCAACCTGATACCCCGTGTCTTTTGATTGGAGCACTTAGCCTATTTACATTCAGAGTAACCATTGAAAGATATGAATTTAGTGCCATTGTATTGCTTGTAAAGTCCCTGTTTTGTAGTTTGTCTCTGTTTCTTTCTGGTCTATGTTACTCTCGGGGTCCATCTTCACTTACAGTATCCCCCTTAATATTTCTTGTATGGCTGGATTGGTGGTCACATCTTCTTTCAGTTTCTGTCTGTCTTGGAAGCTCTTTGTCTCTCCTTCCATTCTGAATGGCAGCCTTGCTGGATAAAGTATTCTTGGCTTCATGTTCTTCTCATTTAGTATCCTGACTATATCAACCCATCTCTTTCTGGCCTGCCAAGTTTCTGTGTATAAGTCTGATGTTATTCTGATGTTCCTGCCTCCATATATAAGGAACCTCCTCTCCCAAGTGGCTCTCAGGATAGCTTCTTTTTCTCTAAAATTTGCAAGCTTCACTATTATATATCAGGGTATTGATCTATTTTTATTGATTTTGGGAGGGGTCCTCTGCCTCTTGGACATAAATGCTTGTTTCCTTCCCCAGATTAGGGAAATTCTCAGCTATGAGAATTATATATACTACATACATACCTATGAGAATCAAATATGCCTTCTGGCACCCCACCCCCTCAGGCACCCCAATAATTCTAACTTTTTTTTCTTTTCAGGTCATCAAATTCTTGAAGACTTCCTTCATGAGCTCTGAGTTTTCTCTCTCTTTTTCCTCAACTTTCTTCCTTTCCATCAGCCTGTCCTCTGGAACACTTATTCTCTCTTCTGCCTCATTTACTCTAGGTGTTAGAGCATCCAATTTAGATTGCATCTCAGTTATAGCATTTTTAAGTTTGGCCTGATTAGATCTCATTTCTGCCCTTAGAGATTCTCTACTGTCATTTATGCTTTTTTCAATCCTCGCTATTAACTGTATAATGGCTATCCTGAATTCCATCTCTGACATCTTACTTATATCCATATCTATTATCTCTATGCCAGAGAACATTG